TCTTGTCTTCGGCATATTGAATGGCCTGCCCATTTACACATTCTGCTGACCAAAATCTTGGCTACGGCTACGTCCAAAAGTATTGTTCTTCCTGGGATCTCAGAGTTCGTGAACCGATCTTGGAGAAACATACCCAACATAACCCGTCCGCTCGATATGGCGTTGTTAACAACGCCATATCGAGCTATTGACTTAAGATAATGTTGACAAACAGTAGACGGGACTCTGAAAGGACCTAATTGAACTTTGCTCCAGGCATCAGAACATCATCTAGCGTTACAGTTCTCACTCCCTGATTTTATATGTATATTTCACACAGGACGTGTGAAGTGTACATATACTTTTAAGTCACACGTTACCGATATATGCATAATTGGTTTTTAGATTACACCTATCATTAACGGTTGATTAAATTTTGCGATAATCAAATTAATTATAATTTGTTTGTAATTGTTATACAATATATGAAAATAAATCAAATAAACTCGTATTATCTACACGTTTATTACGTAATGAAACGATCTTTCTATACAAACTTGTGCATGTCCTCGATGGCATCCATTAATATCCTTGAATCACTATGTATTGACGCTTTTCTTCATTCTCGTATCTACTCAAGAGTTTGCAACAATACGTCACTTCAAAGGTGTAAGAAAATCTCTATTTAGAACAGACTTTCATGACGAAGACTCGTGGAATCTCTAGTGAGAATTCGCATGTATTTAGTGAAAACTATTTTTTCATAATTGTTTGATTTTTAATCTATTTATGATCTTACATTCTTTGCAGTATGGTCGGATGACGACCTTTGCGCCCAAGCTATCCTGTTCTTCTTGGCTGGCTTTGAGACTGTGTCCAGCGCCGTGTCGTTCTTATTATACGAGCTGGCTGTCAACCCTGACGTCCAAGACAAACTGTACCAGGAAATCAGAGAGAACAAGGAAAAGAACAACGGGAAATTTGACTACAATTCTATACAGAATATGGTTTATATGGATATGGTGGTATCAGGTAAGGGCACAAAGACGAATTTTCTGTATTCTTAGCAAGAACCTCAAACTAACGAAAATTAGTAACAGTAGAGCTCCACTAAGTGGAAATGTGAGCATTACTGCGTTCTGATGTAGAAGTGTAAGCGTGTTTGCGCTCTGCATCCGATTATTATTCGTTCCAAATCCGAGACTATACAAATCTAGAAAACTCCGTCCCACTTCGGATGTCGCTTGTGCACTAAGTCCAATTCGAATCCGAGAAAATGCGAATATCGCTTGTACACCTAGAGATAAAATGACACTTCGGACACCTGTGACATTTTAGACCATCGTTTCTCGGATTCGGATCTGGGGGTCTACTCTCATTCTCCGTCCGACATCCGTCCGAAAAAATAACTGTCAAATAACCGCTCACGCGATACATGCAGCCGTAGACGCATACCACACCTAGAGGTACCAGTGATGATTTTATATCGATTTATCGGATATCGAAGTTATAATAGGTATAATAGGTGAAAGAACTAATATTAATTGCTATTTCGGTAACTATTCTAGCAAATCATAAAGTTTTTAATGCCTGGGCCTGTCATTTAAAAAAAATAAACAACTTCAAAAATACGTCACGACAATCGTGAGTGTTATTGTTTGGGCTGGTGATTTCGGTGTTTATTTATTGAAAACATACCGTAACTAGCGTTTTTTAAGTTTACCCTAAATATAAACGTTTATAAACTATATTTTAAGGAGTAATTTCATGGTAAACGTTAGAACCACTCAATGAGGAATGTTATCATATTTATCCAAGTACACTAAAAATTTCATTAGTGCCTTTTAAGTGCAAGATTTGCGGTGTATTACTGCATTTTATTTGAGATGTTTTTGTTAGTAGTACGGAGGGTGTTTATTTAGCGATGCAGAATAATAATTTTTATTTATAAAAACTTGTATTTAAACTGAATGCTTTTCTAATTTGCGAAACCAAATATCCGCCATTTTGCGGTAGGAGGAACGCATCGCGTGAGCGGTTACGTAATACTCGACCAAATTAAAAGACGCATGATGCGAGTGAAGCTTCATACTTGACGTTGTCTTTTAATTTGGTCGAATATTACTTATTTCACAGTTATTTTTTCGGACCGACGTCAGACGGAGAACGAGAGTAGACCCCCTGTTACGAATCGGATAGTACACAAAGGATGTTATAGGGTGCTGGTGCCATTACGGGTACGTGGGACTTGTCGTTATGTCTCAGGGTGACGGGCGCATTGGCAGTGCCCCTAAGATCTTTGCGATTTAAAGCTCTGTGGCAACGTAACTGGGACAGGCGTTTCGTGTTCCCCTTTCCATCACCGGGGGACTAGACGTAGGCTTGGCTTCCACCCCTATGTTGTGGATATTTCAAAGATTCGCACGAAGCGTTACGCTTCCACATTTATATGGCGAACTGCTATGGAATGGAATTCCCTGTCTGCAGACTTATTCCCTGAACGTTATAACTTGGGCCTTTTCAAGGCGAGAGTGAATAGGCATTATTTATTTAGGCTTGTTGTGCATGCTCTGTGAGATGGAGGTTAAATGCGCACTTACATTTTACAAAAAAAAAAACCACCAGGCGCACGACTTGCTCATCCCGTCATTTGTTATCATAAAAAAAAACCTCTAATGTTGCAAGATATGAATGAAATTTATTTTAAATAAAACACGACCGTGAGACTCAGACGTGTTAACGAAAATAACGGATAAGTCACGTATTTAAGTCGAATTTTTGCTCGACATGTTCCGTACCAATTCGTGGTCCTTAATCATGAGATTCCGCGGCGGTGACTCGACGGAAACTGCGCGCCAAGGCACTGGCAGCCCGATCACTCAGTACGGCAGCGGGCGCAGGCGGCGTCGGCGAAAAACTACCCTCGTTAGCTTGATTTTTATTAAAGTCATATGAAGGATTGTACACTACACTAACAACGTCACTTTCTAAAGTCTCGTCTACTCTAACCACTTACGTATTCGACTTACATACGTGAGTTATTCATTATTTTCGTTAGCATTTTTTATTTGTTTGATATTTTTCTTCGTCTTTGCTTCTGAAAGCTATTCAATAGTAAAGTTTTGTAGTAAAGTTTAAAGCACGTCTTGAAAACTTCATACACTGCTATTTTTCAATAGTCCGAAGCTTTTCAATATGGCATTTTTATTAAAGGTGAAGCCTTTTGCGTTGAGTTTTAGAATATATTATACAGGAGAAAACATTGTACAGCTTTTAGGTCCGTACGTGCGTATATAGGATATCTATCGGATATCATAGAGATCTGTAAAAAAATCTAAAAAAAAAATCTGTTTCTGGTTATATTATTATATTATACAGTATTGGTTTCTGTTAACGGATTATATGTAAGATCATTGAATGGAGCAGCGAATATATAAAAAAGACTAGCTATATCCCTGAGATTTTGCTTTTGTTGGTATCACAGTTGTATTTAGCTGCCTATTTACTACATAGTGGTGTTTACATAATCTCGCAAATCTATAAATAAATAAATAAATCTACACATTTATAGGATCTTTGTCATCAATTTGTAGAATTTTGGTTAAAATATAGGTATTACGGATTTTAAGTATGCTGTTCGTTGTTTATCTTTAAATAAAGAGAAACCCGAAGTTGCGTACGTTTTCTGTATGGTACGCAAATTTCGACTTTTCTTTGTCCTGACCACAACAGCAAGATTTTTGCAGGGAAATAAAGTTTTCTCATGTTATAAATATAATTAGAAAATAATATTCACAACTCAGATACAAAAATCGTATAACAAGGTGATATAGATAAAATAGTTTTCTTTGTAGAGCTAGCAAGAATTTCGACAGCGTGCTTATCTAGCACGATCTAGGTAAAAGAGTAAAATCACAGACATTTACCTAATTTTATTGAATAATTCGTAACTGCGTGTTGCGTTGTTTTCTATAGGTAAGTGCTTTATTTATTTATTAGGTTTACCAATGTCTGTGTACAAATTATTTATTATATCTTATCATACCTTTACAAAGAAAGTAATTGTCACAAACACTGTTTAAACAAAGCAATGTTTAGCTCAAATTTAAAAACTAACACTTGTCAATTAACAATACAAAGATAAAAATAAAGATAATTTTATGTCAGTATAACTTAATCTAATACAATACAAGTAAAACAAATGTAAATAAAGCTATCATAGTATTTAAATAAGCATTGAAAGGGAACGTAAATTATATAATCTTCATAGTAAATTTATACATTTTAATATTAATACCTATAGTGTAATAGCGATGCCTAAACTAAGTAAATGTGTACCTGTATTTTAGGCATCCTTTTGGGCAAATTTTTTCATGTTACACATTGACTTACAAATAAATGGACGACGGATCTAACACAAAAACCACGAAAAAAATGTCCCAAGTCAACCTATTTAAACGTAGTGGCATGTAAAGGAATATGAAAAAGCTAAAACGTTGAATTTAAATTGTAATGTCATCGCAGTACTGTCTAATTTTGCTTGCTTCGCTGTCAGAAGAAACAAACGAAGACTAAAGCGTGAATGACGCTCTGTATACGATTTTAATGCCCTATAAGTTCGGACACTTTTTAGCGCGGACCCGATGTCCATATAATTGTAAGTCAATGATGTTACAGCTTAAAAACAGAATTTCTATATTAAATATAAAAAGGATTCGTAGTAATAAATTAACTGTTACATAAAAATAATTATAAAACAACTTCCAGCACGACCTTGCTATGCGATACTTCATTGTAAGTTTTTCTCTTAAGCCACAATTTGACGGTCTTTTTGCGTTCTATTTTATGCAAAGAAGAATTCAATTTAAAGTAAAGGAAATAAAGTGTCGGATTTAAAATCACCTTGTACTATATACACGTTTCTGTAACATTTTTTTTTTGTATTTCAGAAACGTTAAGGTTATGGACGCCTGGTTTTGTTCTGGATAGATTCTGTACCAAAGATTACAACATGGGCAAACCTAATGCTAAAGCTACTGAGGATTACATTGTAAGTGTTAAAACACGAACTGTCTTTTATTTCTATCATTAGTTTATTTTCTGCGAAATGTTCGAATGGATAATTTTGTCCTTTTCGAACTTCAACTTAAAGTAGCTTTTACGTAGTCAAAAGAAAGACTATTTTTCCAAGCGTCTTTCCAACTGAGATTCAAGTATCCATAGTAAAAATGTAAAAATGGCGAACTGTCTCACTGGACAGCTTACATATTGACCTTTCGAACAATTGCCTAGTCAGTCATCACCACAGGATAATTACCACGTGACTAAAGTTTGCGTAATAATAAGTCC